ATTTAAAAAAAAATAGAGACTGGTCTGAGTGAAGCAACTTGCCGCTACTCCTTGAATGGTCTATCTGGCCGGCACGATGCCAGCGAATGACCAAAGGGGAGTCAATACGCGCGTAGGACATCCAACGAGTAGTTTGTCGAAACTTGTCTTCAAGTTGTCTCTCTTCCGGTTATAAGTAGCTTTCGGTAGGTGGTAGTAAGCGATGGATCGTGGCAAGCTGTGATACGAGATTTCGACGTCATTCATTCATAAAGACATATTCCATTCATAAAGTTTTTATCTGAAGATTTAAAAACTTTAAAATACTATATTCGTCCGTGAAGTGATAAAGAAATATCTATCTATCTATCTATCTATCTATCTATCTAAAACAAAGCTAGTACTTTAATAAAGTCATTCTGTTCTTCAATTAACTTTAAGATAAAACGATATTTCTACTTTTAAGTTTCTCATAATCTAGAGATTGTACACGATGTTACATTCCATCTAATGTACAGAATGAAATTGGGAGCATTGCTATTTGTTTGGTTTACATGTTTTCAATATTCACTCAGAATTGAAGATTATTACATTATAGCTCAAGCCTTCGCAGGAAGAAGAGGAACAGCAACGGGCAGAGTTCAAACCCGGGATCAAAGACACGAAAGGTCCGAGCTCAAAGCACACCACAGAGCACACACATACTCATAGAAAGAGAAATAGATAGAGAGATACAGAGAGAGAGAGAGAGGGAGAGAGAGAGAGAGAGATGTTGAACACCTTGTCAACATTTAAACAGTCAATCCAAATGATAATAAAGGTGATAGTTCATGCTATCCTTTATGGCAATGTTTCACAAACTGTGTTCCGCGGAACCGCGAGAACTGAATAGGTGTAGCACGAACTACTGGACTAATTAACTAGTTAGGCCACTACGTGAATTAAAAATCTCTCTAAAAAATAAGCAAAGTGTTTCGCTAATTACTTAGAATGTGCGGAGTGTTGCGTTAAGGAATCTGCTTGAAATTCCAAAATGAAAGAAACATATTTTCGTTAAATTCAAAATGAAGTCTGAAAAATATAAAGAATTACTTTTTAAAAAAAAAATTTGTAATTATTTTCTTTTGAAATCTTTTTTTTCTCCAAAATTCCACCTTTTTCTCAGAATAATTCCTTTATTTTCGGTCCATTTATTTTGTAATTTAACTATTTCCTATCTAGATATTCTACTTCCTGATTGATATTTTTCTCCACAGATCATGGTCATGTACTTTTGATGCTACAACAAGATGCTCTCTAGTCTGTTAATAGCAAACAATTAGCCATTGTGCTTCATTCTCACCTGATGCTCTGGTGAAAAGATCTTGTAGTCTCAGTTGGTGTAACACGGTACTAAGCTTCTTCCCCCCCCCCCCCCCCCACCCTTCAATTTGGAGAACAATACTATTTTCAGTTTTGCAGATGAACCGCAAATTTGCACACGAACTAAATGGGTGATTGATGAAAATGAGACATCGATCTTTTTCGTTAACTATCAAACGCAAACACATTAAAAAAAAAGGAACATTAAAAAATAAGGAACATTCAACTGGTACTAAAACGAAAGAAAAGATGCAATGTTTGCCCAGCGCCCGTGATAGTAACTGTTGTCAATGTATGGGTGTGTAATGAGCCAAGAGCGTGGCGGGCTAATCGATGAAAAGTTTGATCTAACGACGCTCCTGGAAAGCCTTCCGCGGTCTGATCATGTTCACCAAACAACAAACACTAGGCGGGGAAGTGTCAACATCAGGGCCATGTGGGAAACTGAGTTGGAACACCTTTTCCGGGTGACGTCAGCTGACCGTTTATCAAGGATTCCCAGTTATTTTTCTGCATGCAGAATCATGTCTACATAAATGTACACGATTTATCCTTCTATGACCAACCCATGATGGCGCCGAGTGAGTTAAAAAAGAATAATTGTAGTTAGATAAATAGGGGGCCATGCTCTTCATAATCACCATTTAAAAATAAAAATCTAATTCAGACTACAAATCTTCACACGCAAATATATATGACAAGCAAAAAAACAACAACAAAGCTGATATTAAGTGTAACAATTAGTCTGGATCAGTCATGTATTTAAACTTGTAATAGATCTAGACTCACAATACTAAATCTGTGTGATTAGAAATATTTTTTTTACCTGTTGTTTTTGTTAAGCACAATCTCATGCTTTAAGCTTTCTCAGTAAGCAATGATCCTATCACTTGTCTGGACCAGTTGGAAAGTGGTAGCAGGCAAAAGAATGGGGTATCTGGGTGATTGCTTTTTAAATGTATTTATAAAAAAAAAGGGAACGATCTGAATTGGAACTTGTGGGCTAAAGCCTTATCAGGCTTGTCAAGCCAACGCATTAACCACTCTTCTAGCGAAGAGTGTATGAACATGGAAGCTTGTATCTATTGTTGCTATTTCATGTTTGTATCCTCTAAGCCTCAGACGACAATATATAAAGGGGACCAATTCACTTCAGTCAAGTACATATTCTTTAGTTTGTTTGAGATACCCAACAAAATAATTTATTATTAATAGTTAATTCTCTGGTAAAGAAATAGTTATGCAAAATTTCAGCTCGATCCGAGATTTAGTGTCGGAATAATGTACCAGTGATATACTGAATAAGACTTGTGAAGACTTCAGCTATGTTTAATTACATAATGGGACGATGGTTTTATGTCTCTAAATCCAAACGATATTTCCTAGCAGTCCATTTGCCATGTTTCTTGCTCCCAACCCAAGCCGCATACTCTTTTTGTGTACATTCGTCTGTCTGGCCACGTCACTACTTTTCACTGTCGCTACATATAATGCCCAATATTTATATACAAAGTATTATACTCTGATTACTCTCTTACTTACACTAACCACTACAGAAGCAAGTCAAATGATGTAAACAAAATAAAACAATGGCAAGAAACTGTAGAGTAGTCTTGTAGAGAGAAATATACGAATTGAAGTCTTGTCTAAAACTTAAAATGCTGTGGTACTGACAGCTGGAGTTGGCTAGGTGTAGGTAGAAAAGAAATAAATGAAATCTTCTTTTCAAGTTAAACTGCTCTAGTAACCGTTGGAATTCAATACTTGTAGATAGAAGACACTATAACAGATTAAAATGTAGACTTAATGTTGGTAGTTCGATTATAAAATTAAGTATTTGATTAGGAAGTCAGGTTGAGATATGTATTTCAATGAGCTGTTGTGGACCTATCTAGATGGTAGATGTAACCTAGCCTTAACTAAATATTAAGTATTGTAGTTTATACTCTGCAAATGAAGTATACATAAATATATTTGTGCATATTCTAATAAATTTTCTTATTGAAAATTTTTATGCCTGGTGTTAAGGACTCAGGGGCGCCCTAAGAATCCTGAAATTCAAAATCCCAGTCTTCACCAAGATTCAAGCCCAGGACCCAAGGTAGGATGCCAAACGCTTAACCACTAAGCCACAGCGCGCTCACAAATTTAAATAAAGTGTTGATACTCTATGTTCGTAACAAACTTTATATTAACTGTATGCAACAGCACTGTGCTATTTAATCCTTGAGGCTGTTTGGTTTGTGAATTCTAATTAGTAGGCGACTTCAAAGCTCAATTTAGGGTCTTTGACATTGTGTAGTTTATCATGAAAGTCTTCAATAAATGTTACAATGTAAATAATTATAAGTTTTTGAATTACACCTAGTCATTCTATCTGTATGTATTAAGAATAAAAACTAAGATCAGAATTATCACAGTTAAATAAATACTAAAAGTTAAGAGAAAACATATTTACAAAGATATTGTGTATTACTGTTTATGTTACTTGCCCTGCAGCTATGGGGAAGGGAAGCGACTGTTAGGCTCCAGCGGGAACGAAATAAATCTCTGTGGTTATCGGATGTTGATCATCTTGAAAACCTAGCTCTAACTAGATGTCCAGTTCCCAATTATCGTGGCTTTGCTTTGTTATTTTGTCAATTTTAAATAAAATGGTACACAGGGCCGGATTTAAGTAAGTGGAAGAACTGCTTCTGGGACCGCCTATAACTAAATTTGTTTTGTATTCCAGATCCAGGTCCAAGATGATGTAATTACCAAGCAGGAGAATTTGAGTATGCTGTCGAGTCCAGCTCCCTGGCCAGGTCTGCCCAATCCATTTTACTCTTATAGGAATTGCAAATGAGATATTTGAAAAAGAAAACTGACAAGAATGTTGATTCAGGACGCTGAAAGTGACTTTCACTGTGGTCCCTCGCCTTTCCAGTTATAATTAACTCATCTGTTTTTTCAGTGGTACACGACCTTTCCAATTTCAATTAACTGGTCTACTTAAACATCAATACCTAACTTTTCGTGGCTTTGTGGTAAGCGCTTAGCTTCCATTCCGGAAGTTCCCGGGTTCAAATCGTGGCGAAGACTACGATTTTTAATTTCGGGATCTTTAGGGTTGTCTATGAGTCCAACCAGCTCTAATGGGTACCTGACATTTGTTGGGGAAAATTAAAGGCGTTGACCGTTTGTGCTGGGACACATTAGTTAACCGTGGATCACAGAAACAGATGACCTTTACATGACCTTTACATCATCTACCCTATTGACCGCGTAGTCTTTCAGTATCGATTACAACTCCTTTCCTCATTTTTGGGACAATGTCTGCATTGAATTCCTGTATGTCGATATCCTGGGATATTAAATGCATAAATAAAACATGTTCAATTTATCTTCACTTATCCTTAAGTCTGTTGGACAGTTGGGGCACCATATAAGATCTGCTGGCCGTCGTTCTCCATTCCTCTATGTAACAAAAGTCTAGAATCTTAATTAAGTTTAGGCAACTAGATCTAAATCTAGTAGAAACTAGGATTTTAAGAAAAACCGAACAATTTATTTTCAAACTTTTCATACCGCAGTGAAGCCAATGCGTATTTAATTACATCACTTTATATAGGTCTCTGGAATGGAGGGATGAAATTAATTTGAATAAAAACGATCACGTAAACTGTAATTTTTTTTATTTATTTGTTTTCCACATCTGTACATTGGAAATTTGGATTCATGACGTACAATTGTCTGATAAGCCCCCATTTTCTTTTATAGACATTAATCGTTGCTGGTTTTTTGTTTTTACAATAAAGTATGCCATTATAATTATAACAATAAATAGAACTCAATAAATAAAACATAGAATGTTCAAACCAAAGAAAACATGTAAGACAGATTATTATATTATATTATCATTTCTATGAACTTATTTAATTCTGTTTTTTTTTATTCAACAAATATTAAATAACTAAATAATTCTTATATGACGTACCGAAACTAAAAATAGCTAGATTGTGGTGTATCCGGTGTACACAATGAATGAAGTGTTAATAAACAAGGTTTTTTGGAGAATTTGCGTTCTTTTGTTTTCGTCATCAGAAAGTCACATTTTCTAATCTCTTCCTCCATTGTTGTTTTATTTGGTTGACGCCACTGAATTGAACTCTTGCATCCTTGACCTTCTAGAGCGTAGCGTGCACATTCCCAACAGTAGGCCTTCACTGTTTTTAAGGACAGTGTATTTACGATGGTCAGGTTTGTTCAACCTTAAAACAATTTTTTGACAACATTATCAAAATAAATAAAACCAGCTTTTTAATAAGCAGAGGTGCCAAATATATTAAATCTATGTACACATTAAATTTATGATAAAATGTTCAGACAAAAAAAAAGCAAACTGAGACCATAATTGCTGTACAAGCCCTACAGTTTTAGAACCATTGAAGTCATCTATACTCTGTTAGGCTCAACGTAATCCATCTAGATCTAAGTTGACCTATTCCTACTCACCTCATTTTTTAAATTCCAATGTTAAAATGCAAATCACCCAACCGTTGAAAAGTTCCAACTGTAAAATTTAATCTACTTATGGTTTTGTTGTTTTCGTGTTATTATTTCATTGTTTTCCAATATTTTATTTTTTATTTTTATCAGACATAAACCTCAACCTTAAATATTAAAACTATATTCTTTTTTTTTAAACTGTGTCACGTGGCCTTGTTGATTGTTTTCGGATCAATACAATCTTTCGTCTTTATACCACGTGATACTCTCCACCAGCCAATCGCTGGGCTTGACGTAAGCGCGCGTCACCATGTCGAACTGGGCGACCGTCAGTCCTGTCTTGGTGGACACCTGCAAATACTGTTTGACATTGTTCTTCAGGTACATGAAGTAATCCTTGCTGGACCCCTGCCTGTAGAAAGGAACGGTCCTGAGGGACTGTGCCACAACTTCGGGCGCACCGTCGGTGACGTTGGGCGATCGAACGTTCGTGATCTCCAGAAACATTTCCGAGTTTTTGCCGTTGAATAAACTTTCCTGTGAATGTTTGTATATTGTTAATGTATCAATTATATGAATTTTTGTTTCTTTAAATCACTAAAGACAACATTTAGCAAGCAAAAATTATTTTTTAAAAAACATGGATTATATAAGGGGAAGCATCTCCCAATCACTGCCATATCTCTTAATACTGCAACGTTTGTTTCCACTTTTTATATAAAACAAATTAATTAATCTCGACTAATGAACTAACTAACTGGTTAATTGTTTTCATTGATTCGTATATTAGTCCTCTATTATGAATAATCGTATAAAGTTTCAACTTAATCTCTCTCTCTCTTTCTCTCTCTCTCCCTCCCTCTCGTCCTCTTTTACTCTAACGCTAAGTTTGTTACATTTGTTTGTTAAGCTTTGTACTATGAGACTGATTCAACGACAATCTCTGGATAACCTTAGTGTTTATCATCATTCCGCTAAGCTAAGTCTGAGCTAAATTTAATTCAATGACACGCCAGTTCTTGGGTGGTTGGAATGGAATGAAAAAAATATTTGTTCATGCTATTGTAGCTTATAGTGTCACTGTATTAATTGTAACCCCGCCCCCACCCCTTAAAAATCTACATAACAACTATCTTGTTTACAAGAGATTTATCTTTAATTTATTATATCTGGATAACCAAGGCAACTAGTAATAACCCAGGCAGCTAGGTAATAACCCAGGCAGCTAGGTAATAACCCAGGCAGCTAGGTAATAGCCCAGGCAGCTAGGTATTATACACAGGCAGCTAGGTAATAACCCAGGCAGCTAGGTAATAACCCAGGCAGCTAGGTATTATACACAGGCAGCTAGGTAATAACTCACGAAGCTAGGTAATAACCCAGGCAGCTAGGTAATAACCCAGGCAGTTAGGTATTATACACAGGCAGCTAGGTAATAACCCTGTCAGCTAGGTAATAACCCAGGCAGTTAGGTATTATACTCAGGCAGCTAGGTAATAAGCCAGGCAGTTGGGTAATAACCCAGGAAGTTAGGTATTATACACAGGCAGCTAGGTAATAACCCAGGCAGCTAGGTATTATACACAGACAGCTAGGTAATAAGCCAGGCAGCTAGGTAATAACCCAGGCAGCTAAATAATAGCTCAGCCAACAAGGTACTGAGCTTTGTGAATAGTTATCCACCAATATGTTTAATTAATAACCCAAACACCAAGTTAATAACCCTGATAACAATTTAATAATCTAATATCTAATAAAGTACCAAGATAACTAGTTCAAAATCGATATAACTAGTTAAACCTTGAAAATCAGTTAATAACCCAGCTAATTTGCTAATAACCAATGTAACTAATTAATTACCCAGTTAACCAGTTTATAAACTAAGATATAAGCACATGCACCCTGACCTTCAACTCGAGCTTGACCCTGATACTAGAGGTATCCATGGCGTACAAGAGACTTGTGACATTCCCAAACGTGACGTTGTTTTTACTATCCATAACAACCACTTGGTTCCAAGGCCTAGTATCCACTGACCACGTCATCTGCATGTTCTCTGTCGACTTGGCGGAGAGCTCTCCATTTTCAATGAAGTAAAGATGGCTACGAACCACACCTGCAAAAGAGCACAGCAGATGATGGTTACGAGTGTTCTGGAAGCTTGAAAGCTTTATTCTAATCTTCTTTCAAGATCAAGGGCTGCAAGCGTGTTTTAATGTGCTAACTAGGGTGTCATGTGGCCAACACAACGAACATAGAAAAAAGGGGTTGAGCAAAATGTGTCTTTCAGAATGACTATTTCATATTTTAGTAGATAGTGAGACAGAGTTAATGTTTTGTTAAAAAAGAAATGGAGAGAGTGCCTCCTCGGTGTCCGCAGAGCAGAGATGATCTGGACAATATAAATCTTAAAGCCATTTGACTTACCTGTGGTATGAATAAGTCTGAATATTTGTCTTGTTTTGGTGTTAAAAAATGTCTTGTCATTGTCAGCGCCACCTCTACGGGCCATTTCAGCAGATGTCTGGGCCACAATCACGTCATCAGGAGAGACAAACACAGAGTTTGCTTCCAGTGAGTATCCCTGTGAAGAGTTATGTTCCCATTAGTCTCCAGTTATTTCCCCTTTAAGACCTAAAACTCAAGCTAACTTGATGCCAACGGTTAACTAGGGTTATTATAAGCTCACCACAACCATTCAGCACATCAAGTTTAACTTGCTGTGGCATTATATCTTCTCATAATTGGATGAGCCCATGGGCGTAGCCAGGATTTTTTTCCTTGATATCAATACATCGTCACCTTATAAATGCCTTTTCTATTCATACATTCATACTTACAATTCATACATGAGCCTATATACAAATCAGTCATTAAACACTCTGGGCTAGGAGCCTAATATTCTCCATAATAACACACTGTCGGCGTGGTAGCTGATTGGTAAGGCATTCAAATAGTCTAGTGTTGGATGGCCGTTAACAAATTACAGAATTTTAATATATATTTTTTGGGGGTGTGGGGGGGGGGCATTCTGACTCAAATTAAACTTCATCAAAAAACGAATAATATTAGTGAGACGGGAAGATGCTAGTCGTTGTGCTGGCCAGAAGAAATCCTAGTCGAATGTTGGCCTTAGAGTCAGAAAACATTTAGCATCACGTCTCTTACATGTCTTAGTTTCAAATAGTGTCTTTCATTGAAGTCTTCTTTCACTGTATACCTCCTTTTAATATCTCCACATCATCACCTACACATTTTCCTTTTTGTATTTCTTCTTTTTTTTTAACGGTCGATCCTACAGTTCAAGAGAGTATTTCTAATGGCCCGCGTGTCGTAGTTTGAGCACGACTGGTGCATGTTTAATAGAAATCGACAATTTATAATTTTTAGATGTGGCATTAAGTACAACAGGGAATGGGATGGCCACTGATCTTACAATAGGGAATAGGATGGCCAATAATCTTACAATAGGGAATAGGATGGCCACTAATCTTACAATAGGGAATAGGATTGACACTAATCGGACAACTCAAACACTTCTGACTCACATCAAAATTGACCCGGACTCTGTATCCCATCTTGACAAAGGTCTTCAGCGTCTCGAAAGATCCACGCAAGGGCTGGCCGTTCTTGTCATGCTCGTAGACCACCGACCAGCATGAGTCGGCGTACCACTGTAAGGCCACGTAGTCGTTGGTGTGTTTCAGTGGCTTCATATCCCCCATGGTCCATCTGGCCGAGTCCCGACGTCCTGAAGAAAATGCAATTTACCTTATTTGATATTCAAAAAAATAATGAATTAACAAAGAAGTAATTGACATATTGAGTAGTTCAGCTTGATCCGAGAATGGGTTTTGTAGAAATAACGTGTACACACTTATTACAAGACAGACAGAATGACAGACAGACAAATTGACAGACAGACAGATTGAGCTGATATAAACTTTGTAAAAAAAAAGGTTGCTTTTTTAAATCCATATTTTCTATCACAATTTAAATATAAAATGGCTTTTTTCAATACAAAATATTTTTTTAATGCCAGTGAAATACGAAGCCTTTGTAATTCGCTCTTTATCCGACAAAACAAGAAATGTCAAATGTTTTTAAACTCTTGAAACAATACTACTGTCATTTTATAGAAAAATGATACATTGTGTTACAAGAAGCTGTTGATAATGGCAAAGGGGTTTACGACATTGTCAAGTGACCCGAACATTTGCACAAATCGGTTGACATGAGTGTAGACAGAAGTTGAGGGGGAGGGGCTGTGCTAAATCTACAGACAATAACGTGCATTAATTAGCGAATTGTTGACATGGTCTTATGCCCACAAGATGGTGGAATTTATGTCCTTGATCTAGAAACAACATTGAAATATTTTTTTTAACAAACATTGATTATAAGGTTTGATACCTATAAAGATGGTGGAATGTCGAGTCATAAGCCATAGAACCCATTGAATTATGATTGAACTAAAAAAAACTTTAAAAGGGGCGGGAGGGGGGGGGGGAAAGGGAATTACTGATAAGAGTCGTGTCTAGCTCATTGTATAGATAGGTCAGTGAGCTAGGCACAATGACGACCAGATGTTCGTTCTCGCAGTTTCCTAGTCAGACGCTCTATCAGTACGTAGAGGTGTAGCTAGCCCACCTTGGGAATACTTCTCTATTCAAGAGATACACATGGAATTATAAGTTCATAAAGATCTAAATCTATTCACCAGTGGTCTCCCATGACGACAGCCAGTGGTAAGGCGGGTCTCTGAAAACGATCCCACCGGCGCTGGTGAGGCTTTGGCTCACGTGACTCAAGCTCTGTCCGCTGATGTGTTTCGTGGCGTAGTCTATGTGGATGTTGTCCATTGTAAAGGCGTATCCTCTGTCCCTCATGACACCTCTCATCTCTGACTGAAACACATAACAAGCAAAATATTTTTAAAATACTAAAGAAAGACAAGAAAGCTTGTATCAAAGAAAGAACAGCACAATTACTGTCATATCACTTTCTCTCTATAGTACAATATATGTCTCTCTTATTTCTATAAAACAAAATTTATATTTTATTCATGTGTTGTCATCGACACTGAATAATTGTGCTAAGTTTC